AAGGGAAAACATGTTTTAAATTGGGTAATATCAAACAATATTTAGAACCACAAAATTCAGGGTTTACACAGAGGATGAAAACTGTAGTTAACTTAGAATGCATCAGTCTGTGAGAGAGGCCTTTGCAGAAAACTGCAGAGTTAGAAGAGACAGTTTTACAATCAAAACCACCACTTGTAGGACACTAAAAGAACTGACATTTCTATTTAACAGGAAGTCTGAGAAACTACAAAGGAAGCCACAATAAGCTATGTACACACAGTCTACAAAGGACCAGGCAACAAACTAGGATTTTTCTTATTCATATTCTTGACAACTTCTGAAACTCATTAGGTTGGTGCAGAATTGAAAAGTTTGAAGCTTTGACTGTTTAAACCTGAAAGAAAAAAGAATCCCTTATTTTATAAATTCTGTATCACGTAAGTCAACAGAGCGCTGTATTTTTTTTTTCCATTTTGAAAGAGGAAGCCCATTCTGCAGTGGTATCAGTCCTTTCTGTCACCCTTCACTTAAAAGTAGAAGAGGTGGTGAGCAAACATCAGCCTTTTTTTGCACACAAGGCACTTAAAACATAGTCTCAAATATCAGTGCTTTCGACAATTTACTCTTTTACGGTTTTCCTTTATTTGTGAATAGTTGCAAAAGTTAACAAACAACTGGCATTGCCTCATTCTAGAGCAGCGTGTGATAGCACTGACTCGTAAAGGCAACTTTAACCTGTGTATTCATGAGCTTGTCATAAAATCCATAGCATCTACAGAGGAGTTCTAGTCACAGGTCTGACAGCACGTTTCTCTAGTTTTGCTGGTATTAAGTTAACGCACAATATAGTTTTGCTTTATAACTATATTTTGGAAGTTGCCCAGCCTTGCAAGGTTTTAGTATTGCTTACTTGTGAAAAAGCTCATCAGCATCATGCACAGTATCAGCTGGTTCCTCAGAAACTACCTCAGATGAAGCCAGGTCAGGGCTAGTTCAGGCAGCACAAAGGAAGAAAGGCAGTAGCGACAGAGATAGCAGGAGTTAGTAAAGACAGCTTAGTGCTTAGTTATTTCTTTTACCTCCTTCCTCAAAAATGGAACTGCTGAGTTTAATGCATGAAAAATTTATTAGCTGCCCTAGCTCAGTATACCTAGAACGGTTTTAGGCATTAGGCAATGTTTTACCCCACTTCTTTCCCCCACCCCAGCCCTCCCTGATTGTTAGGAACCAGCAATTCTCCCAGAGACAGGAGACAGCTGAAGGTGTTCAGTAGCTTTAATCTATACCTCTTAAAGAACCAAGTCCTTTTATAGGCGTTTAATTGTGACAGCAAAAAGTTTTAGTTTAAAACCATAAAGTAGATGTATATTAACTACTACAGATGTGTGCTTTGAAGCGGAGGCCTCATCAACGTTAGTGGCACTTCTAACTACAGTTGCACAATTATTTCTGGAAAACACATCAGTATTAAGTGTAGGCAAGAATATACGGGCACACAGAGAATGACTTACCCAAGCAACAGATTAGAAACAAAAGTGACAACAGCACTAAAGAGAAGCAGGACACTGTAAAAGGCAACTTCTCAGTATCATTAGAGAAGCATTTCATCATCTACAGAGACCAAGGGGTTGGGCAATGCTACACTGTCTTCTGCAGAAACAGAAAACTCTTTTTAGGTAACTTTTGCTTACGAAGCCACTAGCATTGGTTTCTTTTTTCCTCCTTCTTAAAAATACAAACAAACCTCTAAGACCTCTGTGTAGCTTCTTAAAATGTCTTGGTACTGTGCAGAATGATTAAACATCACTTGCTGCCTTCCAAAAGAAACACAGGATCAAGTCTTAATCACTGCAAACCTGCACCAATGCATTCCCCACTATAAAATTTTCATTGAAGTCTCAATGATCCAGGTAGATTAGTTTTACTAATGATGTCTTTTATATTAAGATGCATTGCAAATTTGTCATGACATCACTCAAAATCTATCTTGACAGTAACAACATGTCATTTGGCCAATAAGATGACAGATTTTTTAAGACCTTCTGTGATCTTATACTAGTTATTTCCAAAATTTTAGCCAAACAACATTTGAGTGTGGCCACAGTGGCTTTTAATATTAAAGGGACTAATAACGCATTGCACCTACACTACACTTGATAATGTAATTAGGAAGATACTTGTATAAAATCCCCTTAAAAAGAAAGAAAACCACTTCTCTTCCCCCCTTTTCCACACCCGTTTCTCAGACAGCAGCAGAACAATTTCAGTATGTGGTGAAATTCTGAGAACCAGTATCTCTAGATATAATCCATCTCACTGTTCCAGTATCAGCTTGCCATAAGTGGAGAAACACAAGAATGCTTTATGGAAATAAGAATAAATGTATTAATATCAGGCCACATAACCCCCAAATACAAGATGTATTGAGATGCACAAGCAGCTCAGTTTAACAAAGGAGCAAAACCAGCACGAAAACTAGACAATAACGTGTGGCTAATATCCTTTAAGGTTCATGACTACAGATTCAGCTTTTCCATGAGCAGAGGTATTCAATAAAGACAGCACACTCAGCAGAGAGTTCAAGAACACCTCTCTTGCTGTACAACTACCACCCAGGACCGCATTCAATAAGCTGGAATAAAACCAACAGTTATTGTATTTTTTTTTCCTCTGATCCTGTTTTAACAAACAATTTCTTCTTCAGATTCCTTACAGGACGACTTAATTACCTCGCAAAGTTATCATCAGAACCAGGAGCAAGAGGTGCAACTGCAGAAGCTGTATCTGAAAATACATCCACCAGCAGGCTACCACTAGAGGACGGTGGGGGAGCTGAATTGGTGACAGGGGCAGCACCCAGACCCAGCAGATCCGCAGATGGAGAAGGAGTTGACTAGGAAAGAAAAGACATTTTGGTGTTACACTACACCAGAACAATAACAAAGCCGTCTCTTTTGCATAGACAACCAAGCTATGGCAGAGTGCCTTTCCCGACCCCAAATAAAACTTTGAATGGACGGAGGAGGCATCATGAATGCAGTTATCACCTTGGATTTCAACTTCATCATTTACAGATATGGTTTTCTTTTTTCCTTTGAAAATAATTATGTCCAAACTGCTAAATAAAAAACCAAAATTCATGTCTAGCTGAAAGATGAAGAAGAAAGGTTATGCACCAGAATGGTATCTCCCCCCTTTCTCTTTTCTTCCCACTTGGTTCCAAGGGAAATTAAGTACTGTAGGGAATACAACTCAAATGTGTTGCTTTTCTTTCATGAAGAATCCAGCAAGAACGGTTGTGGCTTTTACACAAACCTAATTCAAAATATCACAGCATCTTGAAAATTCACTGTCAGCTCAGTCTTGGGTTTTTGAAGCTTGGCAAACTTTAGAAACAATGTAACCAGCAAGAAAGCAGATCCAGTAGCTAGTTCAGGCTGCAAACACTAATGGTAGTGCCAAAACCTTGCTTTTTTATATTGCTTTGGTTTGTTTGTTTTCTTCAAATAGGACAAATCAAGAAGCCAGGACACAGAATCATGCAACAGAGGCTGCATACATGTGCCGAACTGACGTGCAAGAACTAAGCGTGGCTTGTCAAACAAACGTTCATGCATTGGGTATTAGCAGTCTACAATGCTAGATGTAGATTAGCATCTACAGACATGCTGAAGATGAAAGTCATGAGATGGATCTGGATCGAGTCCGAAATTGTTTCTGTAAGCCAACTCAAAGTTATCACATACTCCAAAGACTGAGCTCAATGCAGTATAATGAAAAATTCCCTAGCAAAAAAGTTTCAGAAGCCAACTGGTAAGAACTACTGAAAACAAACAGTTGAACTCCAATTTGGAGCATATTCTTGGCATCGAAGCCAAGGTCACCCCAAAGCCACTGCAGGTAACATAGCAGAGTCTCTTACATGGCTGCAACCCACCAAGTTAAGCTCATAAAGCGTAACATAATTTTAACTGTCGGTCACCTCAGTCAATTTGGCATGCAAAGAAAATTTGGCAACCTTTCTGCTGGAAAGATATTTCTGTCCATCCCAAGATGTTGCACCTGGACCATCGAGTCTCAGATGCTGCAATGACTGAGTTAAAGGATTATGCTTTAACAAACTGGGCAGGGAGCATGCTGCAATATTTTCTCCTCTTAGGTAATCTACTACTACATTGCAAGTGTAATTACAAATCACGCTCGTCATTAAAACCAGAAAGAAGTATTACACTACGGGAACAATTAATCCTACCAGCTTTAACTGACAATAGGATGAGATGTTTCAGCTCAGGCAAAAAAAACAAGACCGCAACCTTGTCTATCATAAATGAACTCAAGCAGTACTGGTGAATACACAGCAACAAGAGTTACACTGAGTCAAGGACTTTGGTATAAAGTCAAGAGTTGTCCGCTCCTGGTAAAAACAGAAACACCACAAAACAAGATGCAAAACATCTACGGTGTCAGACAAAGCAGAAGAACAGGTAATACTTTGAAATTCAAGTTACTACTTTTAAAAATGTTAATATTATCATCTCACCTTCACTGCAATTTTCCCAGCAAGGAAATTCCCATATCTAAGTTTACAGCAATATTTTTCAAAGTAATAACAGAAAAGGGATTTATTTTTTTTTTTTTCGGCTGCAGGCAGCTTGTTCACATTTACATAAGATAGCCAAAGGAAAATCACATCCAAGCATGTGGTGGGAGGAAAGCAGCTGTATGTTCCTCCTGGTACTTTATAGCAAACACCCACAGTCTTCAATTTTACATGAGAAATGTAAACCCCTAAAAAGCCACTTCAAGGAAATGGTTCTTTTCTCACTTGTGCACCTTCTAAACCAGCGAAAGAACAGCTTTTAAACTCACAACAGCACTGGCATTAACAGAGGCAGGTTCAGCACTTCCATTCATATCAGAGCTCCTCTCCTTTTTGATCTCTTCCAGGTCAGTAACTGTGCCTGGGCCTTTCTTCTTCTTGAGTTTAGCCAAAATAGAAGACTCCCTCTCGGGAAAGGGAGGCATTTCTTCCAGCACTGTAGCCTTAGCACAGGAAAAACAAAAAAAGTCTATTAGTTAAACTTACAGAAGAAGCCAAACCAGCTGCTGAGCCTTTGAAGAGTTACACCCTTACAGCCTGCGTGAGGTAAAAGCAAAAGTAATTATCCACACAGAAAATGACTGTGCAATTTATTGAAGAGGGATGGAGCAGACTTGCTTTAAAAAAAAAAAAACAACAAAAAACAACACAAAAAAATCCCAACCCACAACTACAAATTTCTGAAGTCCTCCCAAAGCAGTTGCTTAAGAGAACAGGAACACGTAACTTCTCTGGTACAGTGCTATTAAATAAGAGTTAGATCATAGCACACCTAAAGGTCCTTAAGTCAAGCAAACCTACACCAAAATCCCAGATTACCCAAGGATCTAGTCAGACCTAAGCATTTATTAGCTGTCAGAGGGTGTCATGCTCTAGCCAGACCTGAGAGCATCAGGTTAAAACACTGCAAACGTCTAGAGATGTACACATGATTTAAAAAATCTGCACAATTACAAGTTTCCTGCCCACCATGAAGTCCTCCAAACAAAGTAGCCTTTTGGTATCTGAATATTCTAGGTCTCTGCACAATGCCAGCTTTCACTGGCTTCCCAGCTCCAGATTAGCACGCCTTAATGACCATTCGTCCTACTAAAGCAGTAACAACTTTGATTTTAGCTCTAAATTAAAGATGACTGCAGCTGAAGTAGTTAGACTACAAGAATCAGTATCCACACTGTTGATCCTTAATTCCACATTAAGATTTCTGAGCAATCACATACGGTTTAGTGGAGTTTACTTGTTGACAGAAGACATAGCTAAAGTGTTCTGCATAATAAAAGTTGTTTTAAATAAAGTTATTTATACCTACCAAAATATCAGTACTGGCAATAGTACTGAGCCTCAAGTACTCAACAGCTCTCTGCTGCAGCTCTACATCAGCGTTCTTTAGCTGACTGTCACTGCGCAATACATCTTGGATTGTAGTTTTGATTTCTGGAAACAGGTTCACAAACTTGATGTAGGTAGACAGAAGCAGAGCTCGGGTAGGAACACTACACAGATGAAACTTGGAATGTAGCAAGTTGAACTGGATGAGGGGACTTAAAAGACGGAAAGAGAAACAACTCATTCAGTTTTTGTAGACATGATGATTCTTAATGCATTACTAGCAAGACCCGAATCGTTTGTTAACCGGCCTTTAGGAACGTTAAACAGACACCAGATTCTTTACAGAAATTCTTTACCTTCTAAAAACCCGTTTTGAAATAGTGTTTTACCTTGATCTTGGATCACCTGCTATCAGATTTCCAAATTCACCCAAGATGTAGCCACCTACTTTCACAAGATTCTCATGGCATGCTGGAGCTTGAAGGGCCTGTTAGAACACATTCATAGTCACTGATCTGTAGTGTATCACAAAAGATCTCTTCTGTCACTTACATGCCCCATTTCCTGTCTACTTTCCTGTAAGAGCAGAGCATAGGTCTAGGCACTATAGAGCACTTAGGTGAAAAGCATGACAGGGGATATGGCTTTAGAGAAGAGTCTCTAACATAAGTATTACTTGCTTAAGAGCACTCTTAGGCCCATCCAGCCGCACTGTGGACTTTTGAGGACAGATACAGCTGCTTATGTTTCTCCTTACATCTTTAGAGGTGTCAGAAGGATGTTACTATACTTAATTTGTACCTTGCAAGAATGTGCTGAAGTTTTTCAAAACAAACGGTTTTTATCGAGTACAGAGAAGCACAGAGCAGGGATAAGTTCTGAAAGTCAGCTTAAACATTCAGAAAAGGAAACAAAAAATGGGAAAACCCATATGAAGAATCCAAAAGCCAGTCAGAGCAATAGTGCCACAACTTTGAAAGTGTTCTCCTCCAATAGTTCAAATCACAGTTCTACCAGACCTTGAAGAGAAGGAACGGGTACATATTTCCAGAAGGATCATCACATTATTTTGAGTGTTTTGGATTCCTGCATGCAGAAAACTCAGTGGGAAAAAAAAAAAGGTGGGGGAGGGGGTAGAAAAGCAGCAGCAAGCTGTTCCCTAAAAGGCTGCTATTTCTACTACACTTCAGTAATTTTCAAAGTAATGTCATTTCCTCAGTAAGGGATCCATTCAATGCCACCCCCAGAAATAACCAAAAACCAGCATAACCTACCCTGTTGTCCTCCCTCCCCAAAACCAGAGCAGCACCAAGTATGTTCTGTATTACTTAAGCCAGAGAAGCTTCTCATCAACTTAATACAGTCTCTGGCTCTGAAAGTCCATGATGCTAGTTTGACAAAAAGCCTCAGCAGTGTTTTGTTGAAATATCCAGTATCGTACTTTGACTCCTCCCTAACACAGGAAATTACACCTGCAAGATCACGTGGCGTTTACTTAATTCCCACCTCATTTTGAAAGTGAATTGGAAACAGTTATTCTCACCTCGAAGACAGTCTTTGCTGCATACCCTTGAACGTCATCCCTGTTGATGACAATCTGAATAACTCGATACCACACTTCTTCACTGACATAGTCACCAGCAATGCGAATCAGATTCAGGATTGTATCCACATACCAGGTATAATCCACTGCGTATTTCTCAGCTAGAATTGCAACCTTCAGAACCTGAACACATGTAAGAGAATAAAGAAGGTTGGCTAGCTTCTACTATAAGCTGTGTCTCAAGATTCACTTTCCTATGTACCCAGTGATATCCCATGGTAGCCCAGAAGCCTCAGTTTCAGATGTGCCAGCTTGCTCACTTGCTCCCACAGCTAAGATGAAAGAATGTTGAAATTCTGTGCCAGAATACACCAGTTGCCAGGTACATAATGCTGTCCCCCTACTGCATTTGAGTATGCGGCATCTGTGGGTTTTCAGGAATACACCAGTTGCCAGGTACATAATGCTGTTCCCCTACTGCATTTGAGTATGCTGCATCTGTGGGTTTTCAACTGTCTAGCTAAGTGAACAAAAAACAATGTATTGAGCTTTTCTTGTTTGCTATAAGAACACCATCTAAACCATCAACTTTTTCCAGTCATACCAAGATTCCTATATCCTGAAGCAAGCCACTGGCATAGAAAGAGACCTACACATGATTTGTTATTGGTAGCTTTTGTACTGACCTATCGTTATCTGCAGTAGGTTGTCAACAGCAACAAAACAATACAAGAGGTAAGTCAGCAAACACTGCACTCTGTTAAAGTTTCTCAATCGGAGAAGTTAACACCTAATTAAGCTGAATAATTACAGGTTTTGGCTATCATTTCAGGAAGGTCATTAAGTGAGTATTTCAACTTTTACACTTCTTTCCTGCTGGGCTGAAGGAGATAAGATATCATGATGCCTCTCAGTTCATTATAAAGGTATTGTTTTGGGGAATCCTTAGACTAAGAGGAAGTTCTCACAGTATGCACAGTATGAAGTTCTACCTACAAATAAGTATTTATCACACTAATTTCTGAGGCTATTAAACAGCTGACTAGAGTAGGACATAACTCTCAGTTCTAGAGGTCGTATTTGCTCAAGCACTGATAAAATTCACTTCACTTTCTATATCCAATGCCCTGAGACCAAGATTAGTTTTTTAAAATTCTTAGTGTCCAAGGGTTTTCCACCTGCTCTCCCCCGTTAGTTCAAGCTAAATAAAGAACATGCTTTGCTATTAGACTACAAACTTCAGGCTTTGGGGGTTTTTTTGTAGCTTTTGTTTGTTTGTTTGTTTCTAAACCACTATTTAAAAAAATCTCTATCACAAGACTATCCAGCATCTCAATCAATAAACTACATGTATGGTGTCAAAGCCAGCTATGAAAAAAATAAGGAAACACAAATATCTCACAATTTCTTCTCTAATGGAATAATCAGCAGTCTCCAAGTAATTCAGCATTTCAGCCACAATCTGTTGGGCATTGCTTCGGTCACACATCGCATACAGGAGATCTACAGCTCTCTGTCTTACACTTACATCTCTTTCAGTCTGCAAAAAGACACAGCAAAAGGTCAAGATGATTTCATGTTTTTTGGAAAGCACACACAACTTACTGGAGAAATGAAACTTACTACAATCCATAGTCAAATTTACAACAAATCTTCATAGTCTTTCAGATACAGAATAAACTCAGAGTTTACGTGAAGGGGATATCCGAGTTTCTCATGTTATTCTCACTTTCAGCCACCTAGAAGGTGGTGACTTCAGACTCAGACAGCTTCCTGCTTTTAGAAAGTATTACAAAAACTCACATCATCAGTTCTGTTTCTGCAGTATACATAGTTAAACCTGTGCAAGTGCTGAAAGGATGGAGGAGTTTGTAGAGAATATTCCACTATTACCCTAACTAGAGTGAATAAGTGAATAAGAACAAATGCACGAATAACTGGTTCAAATCGTCACCAGGCCAATGGGCAATTAGTTACCTGCAGGTTCAGTGCTGGGCTTGCCTTCTATCAGTAGACACCCAGCTAGAACAGGTATGTACTTTAAAGTTAGACAAATGTATTCATATGCTACAGCATGAGCTTGGAAGAAAACAATACACGTAAACACTGCAGTGTGCAAGTCAACTTATATGCAAATCAGTCTTCCTCTTTCACATCAACATGGCCTGGGAATGTGTCTTTCTGCTTTCTTGACTTTCTGGTTCTGCAGTGGAAATTGATGTGCTCTACTGCTCCCTATAGGATAACTGCAGTGAAGGAATACTGTCTGGTACCAGGTAGAATAGTAATAAAACAATGTCTTCCCAGCAGTCTCCAGTTTGAAAAATCCACATTTTGAAAGAAGTCTTCATCTTCAGTCTACAGTTTGAGGATATACCAAAGTGTTACAGGGGCCACAGCTCCAAGTATCAGATTTACTAACAAGCTGCAGAAATAAATTGAAGCTGACCTCTGTCACTGCCAGCACAGCATGATTTTACAGGATTAAAGGAAAAAAACTAAACCAAACCTCCGAAAATAACTCATCTGGTCCCCAAGTATTATTATAGCTTAATTGGTGACGGGGGGCTTGGGACTGTGGGGTGACAGCATTGAGGCAGGGGAGAAGACACTCAAAACAGACTACACGCTTAGATATTTACCTTCAATGCATTGATAACTGTTTCTATGTGTGTTTTCACAGCCTCATGTGAGAATTCAGAGCTGGCAAGCGTGCACATGCTTTCCAGTGCTAGGTAACGCAAATTAGTTTCTCGGTGCTGCAAGAACTGACCTAGCTGGTTACAGGCACGGACTAGAAGATTTGGCTCACTGCACAGAACAGAAGAGAAAGTGAAAGGGTTAAAGGCAACAGGTCTGAGAATACCAAATACAGAATATTATTTCTGCAGTGGAAATTTCTTAAAATGCCTCCAAGTCTCTGGCAGAGCGCTCCACTGGTGAAATGAAAATTCAGATACTGTGAGCACAGATAATCTCTGTTGGATTAGAGTGGTGGGGTCAACACAAACTGCCATTAAAAAAGCAGCAAGAAACAGAGCAATAAAAATATATGCTGATAGCGACACAGCTCACTACTACTGCTCAATTCCATTGCTGCCGTTGTGTTCCAGTCTAGCAAGCAACTTCACATTCTGTTCTCCCCCAATCCCTAACCCCCAGTAAAACTCCATTTAGTGCTCAAGACAAAGCCACAGCTTTTTACTTTAACAAAAACCCTCTCACAACAGAAGTGTTCTCACAGCTCACCTGTCATGATGTATGATCAAGCTTATTGCCTCAAACAGCACAGCATTCTTCGCATTTGAGTGTTGTACTTTTTTTGACTTCGGTGGCTCCTGCGCTTTGTTAAGAATAGTTTCCAGGCATTCTGTTAGACGACCACGTACCGCAGGGTCTTCTGGAGAAGAACAAGCCGTTGGACAACTTCATTTGCTTAACACCCTAATCCCTACCTTAGGTCTTTCATCTTGATAAATCTGATTAAACTGAAGTACTCTGATACATTAAAAAACAGTTCACTCTTCCCCAATATAGTTGGCAAAAGAATTCTAAGCCACAGTTCTATTTGAGTGACAACAAAAGCCAAATGCAGTCTGCACTGTATTTCAAGGCTTTAATATAGTTGATAACATTAAAGAACATTTAAAATGGCAGTTACAAGTGGTTCTTAAGACACACACTGATTTGACACTTTGCTCTAAGCTACATGGCCTTTTGAATTATGAAACCTGAAACACTCAACAGTACAGACTTCAGTAACCTTGTCTTAAGACAATGTGCTTACACTCCAAGTTATGGTAACACTACAGCACAGTAGCTCTTTCGAGATACTGTACTGCATGAAAGATACGATCGCTGTTGTGATCCGTGCATTACCTGGAGGTGGATAGCACTGCAGCAGCCTCAGAAGCTTCACAGATAACCATGGAGCAGGAACAAAGTAGTACGTATAGTCCTGAAGGTCTGTTGATGCAGAAGTTACAATCTGTAAAATAAGTAGACACCACTACAAGTTCAACAATGCACAGTTGTGAGAGGGATCCAAAGAACACCTTTGACACAGGCTTACAAAACTATGTCACTAGCAATGTTTACTGCACTCAACTCACTAGATGCAAGCTGTCATACTATGAGCATACCATCACGTTCCCTAGTAATAGAAATTCAGATTTACGGACACAGTAGTCTAGGAAGTCTCTTTCCGAAAGCACACTTGCTTTTCTTCAGAACGGAAATTACCATCTTGTAACATCAAGGTGTTTAACTGCAGCTGGACTTTTTGGTTCAGCAATTCATGGATTCAGCCAACAGAAAGGCTAAATACAGTGTTATAGCTGACTGCCGACAGGTGAACTTGGAATTCAAGTACAAGATGCAGTGACAGACTGAGTTAAAGCAGGAGTATCAACTAACACCTTTGCTAATATTCACAGTCCAGAGCAAAGAACAGACAGCTTTCACAGAAGAGGTTTATATGCACAGTGAAATGTGATAAGAATTAGATTAGGTTTCAGAGAGAGAACCCCTCTTCAAGGATTTCTGTCCTCCCTTTGATTCTAGGGTAAGCACGAGTTTGGCACTACCTCAAAGAAATTCTAATTCTTGCTGCTCCGTTGCCGACACGCTATGCACTTCACTCAGCACTCCCTTGCTTTTATGTATTACACAAAATCCTCGTATTTGAAAAGAAGTTAAGTTTCTCTGAACTACAAGTAATTTTGGGTATAACACTACAAAAACCTGTTTCTAAAATATATTTGTGAAGCAATATCCTTCCATGTGTTGCATATCTTCCAGAAGGCAAATAGCAAACAGAACAGTAACTCAAGTTTTCCAGCATGAAGATGTTAACTTACAGAAACGTCTCTCCACTCCTGCCTGTACCCCTGCTTAACCTCTTACACCCATTTACAGAATATCAAATGCTTATGATTATTAACCCAGCACTAGCTCGAAAGAAGGAATAGGAAGAATAGTCATCTTACAAAAAGCTTAAAAAGTTAAGAAGTACAGGCTGTATTTTTGAGGGCTCTGTGCAGATGGTTGCAGAATCAGCCTTTGATCCAACTCCTCCCTGCTGTTATAGCAACAAAATGAGGATTAAAAACTCAACTGCATCATGAAGATCCTTTTCAAATATGAATAGCTGAGAGAGAAAGACATCTTTTTGCTACACAGACTTGAAGCATATCAGGGATTACACCAAGAAAGTTTGGGCAAGCTAATACATTTTTCTGCCCTGGTAAGCAACAAGTGTTAAAAGAGATGAGCTGAACCAGCTGTATGAAGTGAAACTGAATCATCTGCACTCTTAATGGTACACTAAACTAATCTGACCTAGAAAGCTGAATACAAAAGCAAGAGTAAGTTAACCCGACCTCAAAAGCTGAGTAAATTAAGCAACACTGAAGTATTATCAGGGTTCTCATTGGACTCACTCTGCTTAATCTAGACACGGCCAAGGAGACTGAAGTTTTAAACTCTTCTGGGTTCTTCTGTGCCAAAGTGGTGATCAGACTTGTAGCTGCAGTAACCACACCCTAGAAAAAACCCAAAGCAACACATTCAATTCTGCAACAGTTTAAGATGCTGCCCATTAACATCTTTCACTTCAAGTATTTTTAATATACAACAAAACTAAATTTAGCCCCCTGACAAAGTCTACATTAAAAAGCCCTTTATTTGGCCAGCAGGCAGACTAGTTACACATCTTCAAAATCCAACAGTACTTGCAACAACATGATACTGCCATGCTTGCAGAGCATTTCATGCCTTTTTTGTATTGGCTTTGTCTCATGTTTGGATAGGACATCTAAAATAACAGAGCTATATTACAATAAAGCCTGGATGCAAACTGTCTTACTACTCATGAGAAGCATGAGTAGAAGAAATAGGATGCAGCAGATCATTCAAAGAATCAAAGAATTCTGACAACCCAACATGAAGAGAGGGCTTTGTATAAACACAAATACTTTACACTACTGCAGACTGAAGCATTCTTATTACTGCTGAAGCACAGCTCTTAACAGCCTTACTTTCCTAAAGTAACTAGACAGGGAGAAAAACAAAGTCTCTTATCTAGAACAATAGGTTTTTCTGAACCAGTCAGGTAAGAATGACAACAGGGACACCATAGGACAAGAAAGTCCAAGCACTGACGAATCAAGCCTTGTATTTTCAGTGGTCTAATCTTAAAAGGCCTAGGAAAATTAGTGTTACACCTATGCAATATGGCTTAAGATCACAAGGCACAAGATTGAGCCAGAGCAAAAGAATTTGTCCATACCATTCCTGTATCTCCAAGAAAAAGGCAAAGAAAACTTTATTAAAAATTAATCAATACAGCAACTAAAAAAGGACAGCAACTAAAAAAAGGACAGCAACCTCTTCCATTTCTTTCCCCAAATCTGAAGAAAACAGCAACTCACTTGAAAGACTCGAGAAGAAATAAATTAACAATGTTATTAAACAGCAGAAGTGACATCATCCTCTATACAGAGTCCTCCCAAGAAGCACAATCAAGCTGATTTACCAAGTGCTGGTCATTGAGGAGATGCACCACTCTAGATGTCCAGTCACCCATGGGGACGAGGTCAGGAGACGTTCTGTATAAGCGCAGCAAGCACAACGCAGCACTCTGCTTAACACTATCCATAGTATCTCTGCAAGATAAACATGGATTTAAAATACAGTGGTTAGATCACAGCAATAGCTGTAGGCCAGCATTATGCAAGTCTTTGCCCTGACTCAGCATTCCTAGCCAGGCAGCATCTTTTCAACAAGAGCTGAAGCACAAAAGTTCACTAAGTTCTTCCTGTGCTACAGTATTTGTTGTTAATTTTGTCCAGTAAGTTTAACTACTTTCCAGCCATTACATGTATCTAGTAGCTTCTATAATGATTATTTGCAATTTAAAGGTGACATTTCACATCTTTTTGTCAGAACTGAAAGTACATCATTAGATGAGCACAAGCCCATCTCATCACAAGAACAAGCTTCTTCCAAACCAACTCAAGTCAAAGTTGTTCAGTGCACTGTATTGCACACACGACCAAAGCTGGATCTCCTGACATGTCCTGTATATCAGAAACAAATCATTAACTACTCAACAGCTTCAGTACCTACAGCTAGCATGCAAGTTGGCTACCTACCATCAAGCATGCAACCCTCAAGTCTATTCAGCTTACCATCTGTGCTGCTGGCACAGAAATGGACTACTTAAGAGCAGTGTGCTACTATTTTATTTCAGTGAACTGCCTTTCACAAAGTAGTCACAAAGCACTATTTTGTACATTGCACAAACAATAGCTAAAAATGTACAGAGCATTAGTACCGAAAGTTTTAAGACACACTTTATACTGCACAATCTTGGTTAAACGTTCAGAAACCTCCAAATCCCCAGTAGACATTCGGTCCACCTATACTTTATGAATTTACCGATTTCCCATGAGATTAAATTGTAATTAAATTGTATCTCAGTTTAAAAAAAAAAAACACAACAGAAAATAAGAACCAAATCTAACAGAGGAACTACACTAAAGTTGCAAATGTAACCGACGGTGCTCATTCTGCACAGGTCTCTCAGATATGACATGTACACACATACATTTTATACCTATTCCCCCAGAAATGCAGAAGAAATGAGGCCCCAAAGGCTGACGAAACACAGCTCAAAGTTCAAACAAGTCTGAACTGAAGATGCTGTGCTCTGCCTGTGATTGATGACCCCAGGTGATTTTTCTGGAATTCTTATGGTTATCTTATTAGAACCAAGAGTCATCATTGCAGTGCTGTCTCCACTGTGCAAGGAGAACAGCACCTGGCAAGGCAGTGCAGGACAGGACAGACACAGAACAGGCTGCCCAGGGAGGTGGTGGAGTCACCATCCCTGGATGTGTTTAAAGAGCGGGCAGACGAGGTACTTAAGGATATGGTTTAGGGGGTGGACAGAAACAGTTGGACATGATGATCTCAGAGGGCTTTTCCAACCGAGCAATTCTCTGTGTGTGTGTGTGTGAGCCTGACAGAGCCCCAGAACAGGCAATCTCTAAACATGCCCCATTACACAGGGAATTCCATGTCTGAAAAAGGTGGAATCACAGGATAGATTCCCCCTCATTTCCTTCACCAGACCAAACCCATACCAAGCATCAGACACTAGCTGCTTATTTTTCTCTTTCTGGTCCATACTACGTTTCAGCTTTTCAAAACAGCAACAGTGTTCAAGTGTGGCATTATATAAAGACACTAATTCAGGAGTTCAGAAGTATTTCCTAAGACTTGTGCTATAACTAGATACCACGTTATATCCTTCCTCTTGTCAGTAACTCGGACAGCGCACATAACAGACACAGTCAGAATTAGTGCTGCATAAGCACATTTCCAACATTTGCAAGCTCCAGTGCCTGACATTTGGAATATTAATACAGCTCTTACACAACATACTACTTTTTCATATTAATGTAAGACATTCGTTTGATATGTCAGATCTATGCATACTCCAAAACACTTCATACCCATAAGAGAGTTTAAAGGCACTGTTTGCACTCAGACATTTTAAGTTTCAAAATAAATTAGTCCTGCAATCACAAGTGTCATTTTAGATTTACTTAACTACAGTTCCACACAGTTGCCAGGTCTGTTTAGAGACTTCTAGCAATACAAAAGGGAAAGTTAGAAAGTTGGTGGTGACTACTGGCCATTTACAGGAATTGCTGTTTAAATGGGTCGCAGAGGAAGCAAAAAAGCTCACACCATGGAATATTCTCTTACTTCTTATGAGGTCAGGACCATCTAAATAAGAGCTTCAGTTTATAATAAAATCGGTAGTGTAAACATCTATTTAGGTCCACTCATTTCTTCTTTTCATCAGGAGAGATAAGGAAAGCAGAACATACACATTTCAGGGTGCTCACTGGCACACATTTATAGAGAACAAAAGCCTGTTGAAAAGGTTTACTGCTGTTGTATCTGAAGGAGGCACATTATACCTACCCAGCTACAAGTATTTTTGGAATTTCTCCAGCAAACGCTTCCGCCATCTCCCGGCTACCCACGTTAGCAATGCAATGCAGAGCAAGGCCCATGAAGGTGGGGTTGCGGCTGGCCAGATCGTTCTTGATCGCATTATTTATTAAGCGAATCAGCTCACTGTTGGAGTTCACCAGTACGGAGATGAAGAGATACCCCTGTGATTCAGAAAGTGGACAATTAAAATCTATTTTAGCTGACTGAAAGAATTACTTGTGCTGTTAACAGAATACAAATTCGAGATGTACAGTTTTCCAATACCAAACATATGGGGAGAAATAGATATTGAGATATCAGAACCAAGGCTAAAAAGATTAAGTAAGCAAAAATTAGTAAGTTTAGCGTACTTTTAGCATAAATTTACTTTAGCGTAAATTTATCAGTTTTTAAGTGTTTCATCAGCATTTTGTATCGTATTAAAAACAGTGTGACCAGCAGGGCCAGGGAGGTGATCATCCCCCTGGACTCGGCACTGGTGAGGCCGCACCTCGAGTGCTGTGTTCAGTTCTGGGCCCCTCACTAGAAGAAGGATGTTGAGATTCTGGAGCGTGTTCAGAGAAGAGCCACAAGGATGGGGAGGGCTCTGGAGAACAAGCCTGATGAGGAGCGGCTGAGGGAACTGGGCTTGTTTAGCCTGGAGAAGAGAAGGCTGAAGGGAGACCTCATCACCACCTACAACTGCCTCAAGGGAGCTTGTAGAGAGGTGGGTGCTGGGTTCTTCTCCCAGGTGATGGGGGATAGAACAAGGGGAAACGGCACCAAGCTGTGCCAAGGGAGGTTCAGGTCAGAGATAAGGAGGAAGTTCTTTACTGAGAGGGTCGTCAGAAGCTGGAACAGGCTGCCCAGGGAGGTGGTGGAGTCACCATCCCTGGATGTATTTAAAGAGCGGGTAGATGAGGTACTTAGGGATATGGTTTAGGGGGTAGACAGGATAAATAAATCAAAAATTTGGCTTGTTATTCAGGTACTAGTAAGTTAGGTGTGCCTGATAAACATGACCTTACTAGGAAGATTTGAAAAGACATTCTGAACATTAAAAGGTAGCTTATCTTTTAACGCAAGACTCAATGCAGTTTCTTGCCAAGAGTAATAGTTTTATGCAGAGTGCACATTTTTCTTTTACAATTAGTACAATATTCCCTGCGCACAAAGGTGTTTAAGTTTCAGAAGCACTGCTAGATCCAAGATAAGGCTTTAGGACTGGGGAAGGGATGTGGCAGAATGAAGTGAAGTCCTTTACAGACAACACAACCAAGGCAGGAGACTGTGAGTTACTCACAATTTGTTTCTCTGTGTATCTATTGGAACTGAGCAGGTTAACAGCCTCCATGTGACCGAAGTCGATGTCATGCCCCAGAAGAAAGATGAAGAGCAGTTTGCAGACATATTTTTTCTTACTGTAACCATCCAGAGCCTTGTCACCTAGAAAGCAAGGAAACAAATAGTTATGCCTATGCTGTTCCTGTATCTGGTTCCCACTCCTCTTCAGTTCCATGAAGTACCCCATCATACCTTACGGTAAGACAGCTAGCCTAGCAGTCATACCTAGCAATTAAGACTGACATTTGATTGACTGTGTATCACCCTACAGAAGAGGAACAAACTGACAGTTCAGCTATTGCAGTACATTTAAAACATGTGAAATTCAAGTATTATTTCATCTTTTATTCACTGAGTGAGCAAAATGCTAAATACATCCACTTATCTCTGACTTACAGGACTAAGTCTTGACATTATTTCGTACTAAACATATGAAAGTTATCACAAACCATCAACAGATGTCAGACAATCAAACAACTCCTGGGTTTAAAAACACAGAACACACTTTTTTTCTTCCGAATGGTCCAAGACAGAAAAACGCGTCACTCTGAAAAAGCTGAGCTGTCAGTGAATCAACAAGATAGTCACTAGTCTCAAACACTTCTCTAAATCCGAAATTCATTCATATGGGAAAAAAACCCAAACAAACCCAAAGACTTTAATGTTAATTCCATTTACCATTATCTACATCCTAAGGGATAGGCAGGAAATAATGCTATCATCTAGTCCCTGAATGATCCTGTTATGTCCTTAAACTATTTTCTTTCTAAGAGGCAGTATATGTGTGTTTATTTTTATTTTCCTGTTTCTGTGAAGAGCAGGTACACGTCTTCCATTCACGTGTCCTCCTGTGAAACCAATCATCAAACCTTTATCGTGGTAAAGTGCACCAGAGTAGAGAACTCAGCAGCAACAAAATAAAAACAGCAAGTCTTTTCAGAAAGACAGGATGACAGAGGTATATCCCAAAGCTTCAAAAACACACGACATTAGATTACCCTGAGAGCTTTAAAGTGTTTGTAAAATGAATGTATTCACAAGCGTCTCAAATTTAGAAGAAAAATGCACCCTAAGTAGGTTTGGCCTTATGCTGCAGTACTGCTGTATTTCAGAAGCTTGTAAAAGCTACATGGAACAGTACTGCAGCTTGCAGCTCATCGGGCAGAGCACTTCTCCTGAAGAAGAGTGAATATGAACATACACTCTGTGCAGAGCATCCTCTCTCTACCTCACTCTATCGGGAGCTAAAGGCGTATCCACTAAATCCGACCAGTCCGAATGCCAGAGCATTCAGAACGCCAGACAGCTCTAGTAGGGTCTATTTGCTAGTAGGGAAGTAAAATTTTGATGGAAGCTGCTGCCTAAAAGGCTGTATAAGCTTCTTACCCTCTGTATTCTGGGCCCAGAATAACCAGTCTGTCAGATCAGTGTGCATTCCTTCGTGACGGGCAAGTTCAACCAGAATAGCACTGCATAAAGTAAAGCTTAAATAAGAGATCCCTAACTCATCGCCCTTGGCAAAAAAGCTCCAAGATGCATTTTTTTTAAGACCTCAGATTTATGTAATAGGCAGCTAAATATATTTTAAAGAATCTTAATAGTACAGAAGTTTCTCCTCCTCAGTCCTTCTCTTCCACTCAAGCAGAAGCAGGTTAACTTCCCATGTCATATGCATCTACAGCTCCATTTCACACTGAATTCACTGGCTGTACAAAAACAACAGCAACTTTACCACTCTAAACTAAACTTACTTTGTTTAGAAATGAACACTACCATCAGTGTGTGAAGTTACATGCTGTTGCTGAATCAAGGGAAAGCATACAGGCACACTGAAGTAGACAGTAATAAAAGGTTTTATCTACAGGCTACAACGGTGCATTTTGAGGGGCTGCTTTCTATTTTGACTCTAGAAACTTTTATTTCAACTGAGAAAAATTTAAGCACACAACTGCCATTTTAATACAGACACAATGACACCCTTCAAATCTAAGTCTTTAGACACCCTCTATTTTTAATTTTTTTGCCAGTCACCAACAGAAAGAAGCTTTATCTTAAACCTATTTTTATGCTACACAAAGAGAAGTTGCCTTCAAGTCGAGGTGGCTTCCATGGAAGTCAATACAAGTCACATTTTACTTAGATACATGAAACAGTGTTACTGAAGATATTCATGACAGTGAAATCCTGCTGTACCGGATCCCGTCGAGATCCTCTGACAACAGCCAGCACTTCAGGAAGCTGCCCAAATACGTGTTTTCTTCAAGTCACATCTAGCTTGACATATGGCTGTTTGCTGAGCCAGCAGCCAAACAAACCCAAGGCAGTTTGCTTTACCAGGCAGCTGAATCGACATTAGAAGAACCAGAGTGAAAAATGCAGACTCGAAGGGAGGGAGGGAAGAAAGTTTTTGGTTTTTCTTTTTGTTTGTCATTGTTTCCCGTCTCCCCTCCTCTCTGCTTCCCCCCCTTTTCTACTTTGGAAGTAATATGACCAGAGGGTGAAGCAGCCAGCCAGCCATGTCTGTTCCAAGCTTCTGTCCCTTCTGAAGCTAATCTGATAAACTAACAGGCAAGCATCAGTCACTAGGACTCTTCTTTAAAGCCTTATTAGTTCCCAGCAATAACAGAATATCATCTTTTTAAAGTCTGATTAGCTGAGCGATTTGAAAAACCACTGCAGTCAAAGGTCCCACCGTAGCTGCCTAACTGCGGCTGTGTTTTGAGAAGTCTTTGATTCAGGTTCATATTGAAATTTCAAGTTTAACTATTCAATTCCTCTCCCTCACCAAGAGATATAAAGGTTCCATTTTAAACAATACTAACAAGTCTCACAGCATAAGTACATGCTAAAATAGTACAGCTTCCCTCGGTGTCAAGCAAACATGTGAACAAAAGCAGAAGGAAACTTCACATTTTCTGTTATCTTTACTGTAATACACAATTTCTTTTAACTCAGCTCATTTTTAAATGCTTTTGGGAACAATTGCAAGTGCTGCAAATCAAATCAGCAAAAACAGGAAGTATTGAGAACACACATCAGCAGCTTTTGAGCACAGTGGGCATTTGAAAGGCTACTTGCTTTCCCTGGAAGCTTTATTAGTAATTTTTCTGAGAAAAATTATTAACAGCAAATCAGCAAAGAGTACTATTATTAAAAAAGAATTATCTCTCTCACATTTCTGGGCATTACCTCACTACCATTTCAACAGGAAACCTTTGTTATTCATTGCTTATAGATCTTTTTCATGCAGCCTTCTGAAAAGGAAGAAATAAGGCACAAATGCATTATGAGACCATTGTTGTCAGGCAGCACCTTCTGTCTCTAATTTGGACCTGTTTTTGAATAATAAAAGTATAGCTTTTCCAAAGATGAGCAGGCTGGCGTGAGCCTGCAGAAGTACAGTGGTATTTTAAATAGCTGGTTACTCAAACATAAGGTGGGTGACAGGCTTCACAGAATCACAGAATATCAGGAGTTGGAAGGGACCTCGAAAGCTCATCCAGTCCAACCCCTGCCAGAGCAGGATCACCAGACCAGGTCACACAGGAACACGGCCAGGCGGGTTTTGAATGTCTGCAGAGAAGGAGACTCCACAACCTCTCTGGGCAGCCTGGGCCATGCTCTGGCACCCTCACAGGGAAAAGGTTTTTCCTCATGTTCAGATTCAACCTCCTATGCTCCAGCTTGCACCCATTGCCCCTTGTCCTGTCCTTGGACACCACTGAGAAGAGCCTGGCTCCTTCCTCCTGACGCTCGCTCTTTACAAATTGATACCCATGAATGAGGTCACCCCTCAGTCTCCTCTGCTCCAAGCTAAAGAGACCCAGCTCCCTCAGCCGCTCCTCACAAAGGAGGACATAAGGTCCAGAGGAAGGAAAGGATACTTGTGGCACACCAGTCTCAAACAAGAACATATCTGTGTCAAGAGCACTACTGCCAGCCTTACTTTTTACAGCAATACGGTCAGTCCAACAGCTGCATCTTTGGCCAGATAATTAATCCAGGGCCGCAGTACTCTCCATAATGTACCGAGGGACTCCATCTTAAGTTCAGTCACACATTTGTCTTAATCCAAACTATTTTAAAACATTATTAGAAGTCAGAGCTACATAAACAGAAACTGGGTTAAACTGAATGATCTTTGCTTAAACCAAGAATATAAAGCATTATAAAGGACTGTTTAGTCTTATACAGCCCTTCTGCCAGGAAGAACCATGCAGCATAAAGCCCATGTAGAACTTCTGCAGCAGACAGATACACAGCTATCACCTCCTCACACTCTCACGGCCTCAACCAGTTACAAACTAGTCCAAACCCTGCTCCTTCCAAACGCTGACATTTATGTCTAGTTTTTATTCAGGCTACACCAAGTTATTGTCTTAAGTAAGATTTTTCACCCCAAAACCAGCAGCCATAATGAAGATCAGCTTATAGGAAGGTTTAGTCATCTTTCACTCAAGCTATTGAATGAGCACACACTGGTACTCATTCAAAACCATTCAAACTGTGCTCAAATGATGCTACACAAGTACACAGGCTAAAGTTATTCTACTACTTTGCTGAAAGCATCTCTATTCTCTGATGATTGCCTGATTCATGGTTCCACACAGTCAAAGGTTCCTACGATTTCTCCCCAGCGTCACAATTAACCACAGAATTTACTGTGCCAGTACTTAACTGTTTTTGTACTTAAGCCATGAAAATACCCTGCAAAACTGAGGAACAGAACAGATACGAACTGTGCCATCAGTAGCTCTTTAACCTATGATTATTCAGTGATACAGCACAGCTACCAAACCACCTACATTATCCAGAGAATACTATCCTGACAGAATTCAGTTCACCTTTCGCTTCATTACTGCCAAGTTTTCTTAAAGTTATTAATACAGTGGCTTATACTGCGGCTTTTATGAAGGCATTTACAGAAAAGAACAGCGAAGACTGGCTCTATCTTGTCAGGCAACCTTTTAGTATCACCTCTAGTAACAACCTTCCAAATACACACTCAAGACTCTTCACAGAGCAAGACTCAGGATGACCTATGTTCACAAAATACTGAATTGTGTGTCGGAGTTCATTCTGTGATCCCCACATAGGATTTACTGCACTGTACCAGTAAGTGCACTCAGAAGCCATAATTATTGTTAGCATTCATTCTTTCACACTCACAAGTATACAGAAATACGGTGGTCACTGGGTGCAGATAGACCCAAATGGCATTTATCTCCTGTTACTCAAAACAAGCAAGCCACCGTTTTTCCTAGAACGCTCACCTTTTCCATGGAATAGCGGTTTGAATTTAGCTTCCTCATTTCAGCTTGCTGATTAAAGTTTTACACGGCAGGTGCAAACACAAGGAGCTGAGCTACTATGCAGCAAGTGAGATACTAACTGCTTCTATCTAAAGGGAATTACTGAACAGGATTTGACCACAGCCAAACAGTAAGAACTGGACTATATCCATGCAAGTGAGTACTTAAACAGCTTTAACCATTATGAACTTTTCTGCATTGCCTTACTGCATCCCTTTTCAAGAGCATATTGAAAGGAACTGAAGTATTGAAGTGAGCACGTCTGACAGAACTGCAGCAAGGTTTCCAGCTAGGCATTAAGCTCTAGTTATTCTTGATGACAGAAGGGCATAGGTGGAGTAACTGTTAAAGCAACATGCTGATTTCTAGGAAAACCTAACCTGTTTAAACAGTGAAGTAGCCGAGTGCTGAAATGGATTTCAGCAACAGCTGATAACTAACAATGCTGCTATCTGACAGCAAGTATTTTTACACAGATCAAGAGAAAACAAGGAGTCTTTCTGGCTGTATCTTCAAGATTAACTTAGTGAAATTATTTGAAAGATGAGGTAACATGAAACTGTGACTAACTTTTTAAGTGTACAGGAACTTCATAAAGAGATTTTAATTAAACTCGGTCTCTTTATCTGACAGATACACTTACTTTATCTAGCATAGATCTTGCTTGGAGATTAAACTCCCTTATTTAAGCTACAATTTTATGCTTATGTTTTCTAGTAACGGCTGTTACTCTTGTATGCAGGTTTCAAGTAGACCCTTGAACTATGTGCTAGCTCCTGAGTGTGCATGCATACCTAGTACATAAAGGCAATATCTGCTGGTCAATGTCTGGAAACAGATACAAGTGGTCACTGGGACTGCAAAATGGACACAAGTTCTAGACTTGGATTGGGTGATGAAGAATGGGCTTTGCAAAGCCCACTACTCACTTATCTTCAGCGCTGTCTCCAAGCATATCAAGGATGAGGGTCATTAGGAGCAGTCAGCATGGTTTTACCAAGGGGAAGTCATGTTTGACCAACCTGGTAGCCTTTTGTGAGAACATAACCAGGTGGATACATGATGAGGAGGGCAGTGGATGTGGTCTATCTTGATTTCAGTAAAGCATTTGACACTGTCTCCCACAGCATCCTTGCAGCTAAACTGAGGAAGCGTGGTCTGGATGATTGGGTAGTGAGATGGATTGTGACCTGGTTGAAGAAGTCAGAAAGCTGTGGTCAATAGGACAGAGTCCAGTTGGAGGCCTGTGCCTAGTGGAGTCCCCAGGGGTTGGTAGTGGGACCAGTACTATTCAATATATTCATCAACGACCTGGACGATGGGACAGAGTGAACTCTCAGCAAGTTTGCTGACGACACCAAGCTGGGAGGAGTGGCTGACACTCCAGAAGGCTGTGCTGCCATCCAGTGAGACCTGGACAGGCTGGAGAGTTGGGTGGGGAGAAACTTAATGAAATTCAACAAGGGCAAGTGTAGGGTCTTGCATCTGGGGGACAACAACCCCATGTACCAGTACAGGATGGAGGCTGACCTGTTGGGGAATAGAAAGGGACCTGGAAGTCATGGTAGACAGCAGGATGACCATGAGCCAGCAATGTGCCCTTGCGGCCAAGAAGGCCAATGCCATCCTGGGGTGTATCAGAAGGGATCTGGTTAATAGGT